AAACCAATGCGCAGTCCTGCTGTCATCTACTATCTCCTCACCCACAATTAAGACACCGAGTTTCCAAATGTCAGCTCTCAAGTGTATATTTTATGATTAAATTAGCCGGTAGGGTTAAATCCAAAGAATCAGAGTAGATAATCTATTTCTAGTATATAATGCTTTTTAAGCTTATAAACTAGGTAATAGAAACTGGATAATGGAACCTTATTTCCTTGCCCCCACTCCCTTCACTACTCTGTCTTCCCTTCCTATTATGCATAGAATTTCTATAAAATACTTTGATGACTTTACTCAAGTGAAACTTCTCTCATTTTCACAACCCAAAAGGCAGACTTAAAGTCTTAGCATGCATCACTTCAAAGCTTGGACTTGTTTTCACTTTACACTAATGAATTTTTAACATGTCTTGAAGGTAGAGTCTTCAGGATATCCATTTTACCTTTTCCTCTATCAGGTAGCAAATACTTAAGTCAACCATTTTATCATTAGAGAGGTTCAGAGAAATAGGTAGTTTCATTCATTTTGCTGGTAGAAAAGTCCTCTGGGACATACTTTTTGTTTTGTTTTTTTTTAAAAGATTTATTTTTATTTATTTATACATCACTGGGTACAGTCAGAAGCGCGGGAGGGTGAGAGAATTCACCAGAGCCAGAGCGGGGAGCAGAGCAGGCAGAAGGACCGAAATACACTGCTGAGGGGATCAGCGGGCGGCAGGAGAGGTCTGCGCGCCATGTGGGACCCTCCTCCGGTGGCCGGGGAGCAGCCGGGGATTGAACTGGCGCTGCAGAGGCTGCGGGCAGCTTCGCAACCCAGGGCCACCGGGGAGGCTCTGGGACATACTTTTTGAAAGTCAGTGTGGAGACACACATGCATGCGTGTATATTGTTCATTCATACATTATTTTTGTCAATCTCCTAGGAATTTTCCTATAGAAACATTAGAAAATGTTATACATAGTTTATTATGCATAGTTTATTATAAAACTATGTATAATAGTATTATATAGTATTATATACTGTAGTATTATAGTATTATATAGTATTATAGTATTATATACTATAGAATTATATACTATAATAATATAAGATAGTATTATTATACTATATATTACATTATTATAGCATAGTAATAGTGTAAAAGCATTTTTGCAATGTTTAAGGGTAGAAAAATAGAAGCAACTTAACCATCCAAGTGTCAAGGAAAATTTGAATAAATTACAATGTATTCAGACAATGAACTGTCTTGTACCTTTCAGATCATTGGTGCAAGAATAGCAAGTGACATGTTGGAGACTGAAACATTGTAAAAGCAATACTAGGTGCAGCATAATAATGCCATGTTTATCTGTCTCCAGGAAAAATACCAGAAGAATACCTGCCTACATATAATAATGACTATATTTGAATGATGGCCTTATAGATGGATCTTTTCTCATAATTTTCTCTATTTTCCAAGTTATCTGCAATAAATGTGTATTGTTTCTGAAATAAACAAAATGTTACCATTTCTTGATATGTTTGTATCCTCTAACCCGGCCACTCTATTTTTAGGACTATGTCCTAACCTAAGGATATAACAGATACACACTTAAACATGAATTTACAGTTGTGTTTTTTTCTGACTTTGTTTATAATAAGAAAATACTAGAAGCAATTCTGCTGTCCACTATTAGAAAACTGTTTTTTAGGTCCTCCCCGGTGGCGCAGCGGTTGAGTGCTGGGTTGCGAAGCTGCCCGCGGCCTCTGCAGCACCGGTTCGATCCCCGGCTGCTCCCCGGCCACCGGAGGAGGGTCCCACATGGCGCGCAGACCTCTCCTGCCGCCCGCTGCTCCCCTCAGCAGTGTACTTCGGTCCTTCTGCCTGCTCTGCTCCCCGCTCTGGCTCTGGTGAATTCTCTCACCCTCCCTTCTGACTGTACCCAGTGCTTGTATGAATAAATAAATAAATCTTAAAAAAAAAAAAAAACAACGAAAACTGTTTTTTAGAAATAAAGTACACTCATCCAATGAAATATTGTACAATCTTTAAAATCATGATCTTGAAGATATTTAAGAGTGGGAGAAAATGGGGCCTCCCTGGTGGCACAGGCGGTTGAGTGTTGCACTGTGAAGTTGTCCGCAGCCTCTGCAGCGTGGGTTCGATCCCGGCCGGCTGCCGAGATACCCACATGGCACAGCAGACCTCTCCTGTCTCTCCAACTGCTCCCCTCAGCAGTGTATTTCAGTAGATCTGCCTGCTCAGCTCCCCACTCTGTCTCTGGTGACTCCTCTCACGCCTGCACCTCTGGCCTACACCCCATTTCTCGTATGGATAAATAACTAAATCTTTAACAAAAGAAAAATACTAGATATGCATGAACATGTTAACGGGGTGGTTACCACTGGATGGTGAAATTCATGGGGTTTTTTTGAATTTCCTTTCTATAGTTATCAAAGCTTTCAACATTTAAAATCGTTATAAAGGGCCTCCCTGGTGGCGCAGCGGTTGAGCGCTGGGTTGCAAAGCTTCCCATCAGCCTCTGCAGCGCCGGTTCGATCCCTGGCTGCTCCCCGGCCACTGGAGGAGGGTCCCACATGGCGCACAGACCTCTCCTGCCGCCCGCTGCTCCCCTCAGCAGTGTACTTCTGTCCTTCTGCCTGTTCTGCTCCCCACTCTGGCTCTGGTGAATTCTCTCACCCTCCTGCGCTTCTGACTGTACCCAGTGCTTGTACAAACAAATAAATCTTAAAAAAATAATAAAATAAAAAATAAAATAAAATAAAATCGTTATAAATATGAAAATACGTAAACAGCAAGGGAATTTGTTTTATAGCTAGTGATATTAAGATATAGGTCTCTGGGAGAGTGTTCCCTCCAAGTATTTTTTTTGCAAACTGTCCCTTCAACTCAGTTGCCGACTTTGTCACACAGTCATCTAGGGATATGAACTATTTACTTTAGTCTCTGGGTCTCTCTTACAAACCATGGCAATAATTGGACTACAAGGTTTGCTTGGCTCTGAAAGGTATTAGAACAACCCAAGACAGGGGTAGTCCCTGAGCTGGCTCAAGACATGTTTGTGAACTGTGATGCCAGACTTGTTAATTGGTTACCTGTTCAGAATCTGTGTAAGCAAAGTTCAAAGTAATTTCAAATTCAGTGACATCTTAGGTGTAGCCTGAGATCCTACACCACACCTCTAGTGCGAGAGGTCTCCAAGTGCATTGACAGACTTTCTGCCTTTAATGTACCTCCAGGAACAGTCTCAGATTGATAGTCAAGGCAAATAACCATAGCTGCATATGAATATTTGCATTTATATATATATACTTACATATATAGACACTTGCACTGACATATATATATATATATATATGCATATCTATCTATTTGGCAATTGTGGGGAGGAAAATATTATTTTAAAGATTTATTTATTTATGCATACAAGAACTGGGGTATAGGCCAGAGGCATGGGGTGGGGGTGTGTGAGAGGATTCACCAGAGACAGAGTGGGGAACAGAACAGGCAGACTAAGTAAAATACACGGTTGATGGGAGCAGCAGGTGAGACAGGTGAAGTCTGCTGCACCATGTGGGTCAGCTCCCTGGCTAGGCAGTACTCGAATTCATGCTGCAGAGGCTGCGGATAGCTTCATAGTGCTGTATTTAACTCCTTGCGCCACCAGGGAGGCCCAGGAAAAATATTTTTTAGGTCCTTAACTTTTTAATATAATGTTCTATGTTGTAAAAGGTTTAGCATTATTCTTGCATATTGAACAATGGGCAATAAGCCCAAAGATTTATCCATGTATGTGGACTCAGTGAGTATTTATTGAAAGCTTATGTGTAAAACCTGGTTCTGGCCATAGGACATAAGAAAGAAGAGGCTGGTCTTCCTTCTCAGATAAAGGCACAAAGTCAGCTTCGTGGAGTTTGTACAATCTTTCAACATCTCTTCTCCAACAAAACAGACAAAATTATAATTGACATCTACTTACTTTCACTTAAATTTAGTGACATCATGTACAAAGTTCAGCTTAAAACAGTCATCTAGCCCAAGACTATCACTGGTGAAATTTACTAAGCACCTATATCTTAGATATCTGAAAAGTTTATGTAAAAGTGAAGGCTAGGGGCCTCCCAGGTGGCGCAGTGGTTGAGCGCTGGGTTGCGAAGCTGCCCGCGGCCTCTGCGGCGCCTGTTCGATCCCTGGCTGCTCCCCGGCCACCGGAGGAGGGTCCCACATGGCGAGCAGACCTCTCCTGCCGCCCGCTGCTCCCCTCAGCAGTGTACTTCCGTCCTTCTGCCTGTTCTGTTTCCTGCTCTGGCTCTGGTGAATTCTCTCACCCTCCCGCGCTTCTGACTGTACCCAGTGCATGTATAAACAAAACAAACAAACAAACAAATAAATAAATAAAACATGCCTCTATGAAAAAAAAAAGACTTTTAAAAGTGAAGGCTAGAATGCAGTACATTATATTTTTTCTGATTAAAAAAAAAACTTACACTGATTTTATTCACTCCATGCAACTCATTGAATCCTTTCAACTTTTATGCTAGTCTTTCAAAAGAGAACAGGGGCCTCCCTGGTGGCACAGCAGGTTGAGCAGCCTCTGCAGCCTCTGCAGCACTGGTTCAATTCCTGGCTGGCCAGGGAGATTCTCACATGACGCGGCAGACCTCTCTTGTCTCACCCACTGCTCCCTTCAGCAGTGCTTTTGGTCAGTCTGTCTGTTGTGCTCCCCACTCTGTCTCTGGTGAGTCCTCTCACCCCCCGCACATCTGGCCTGTACCCCAGTTCTTGTATAAATAAATAAATCTTAAAAAAAAAAAAGAAAACTTCAAAAGAAAACAGGGCAAGAATATCTGCTTCCCAGATGAATAGGCAGAATAGAAACCAAGTTTAGATAAAGATCAGATCAACAACAAAAAGAAAATAAAAGGTGGAAAATGAAAAGGAAAGGAAAAGAAATGCAAAGCAAATCGGTGAGCTTAGGAGAGGTAGAGCAGAAAGCTTACTTGGTTTGTCCATCCTCCACGTAGGTCGTTCTGTAAAAGCCCACAAGGGAGCCATTCAGCCAGCCCGCAAACTCCAGCGTCAGGAGGTAGGGGCCCTGGCCATCGTTGGGCAGAAGCTCCTCTCCCGCGTCGACCACTACGTACTCCAGTTTTTTGTACTCGAAGCACCCCTTGACTTGCACCTGCTCCCCGGAGGGCCTCTTCAGCACTGGGAGCTTGGTGACCCTGGTCTCCCGGATGTGCAGCCACAGGTGCTTGGTGGGCTTGCTCACGTTGATGGAGATGGTCACCACACCGGTGTAGGTGTCTTCCTCCAGCTGGGGCTTCACCTCCAGGTCGTAGTGCACCGGGTTGATGAAGTCCGGCAGCCTGAAGTGTTTCCAGGCTCCACTGTCATCTTCACTGGCGGGACAGACCCCCAGATCCTGCGGCGGGCTCTCGCTGGGAGTGCTGCCGGGAGGGCTGCCAGTAGGGCTGCCAGTAGGTGGAGGAATCGTGTCCTGCCCGGAGTTTTGGGGGCATGACCTGGTCAAGCCCACAGAAAGTCCTACTATTAGTCCCACACCCACCACGACTCCACAGATAATCGCCACATGTTTTGTTTTAATGCAGTATCTCTTAGCGTGGGCTTCCTCCTCAAAGTTCATTTTTGTTGCTAAAGTCAAATGGCACACATAAAAAAAGGATGTTAAATTTAACTAACTAACGTCAGCAGACTTCCTTCTCCAATTGGAAGGAATTCCCTGATTTGGCAGCCTGTGCGATTTTCCCACACCTCTGCGCTCTCTCTCTCTCTCTCTCTCTCTCTCTCTCTCTCTCTCTCTCTCTCTCTCTCTCTCTCTCTAACTCCTGCCGTCTTGCCCTCTCCTTCCCATTCCCACCAGCCACTGGATGGAGGCAGAAAGGAGGGGGCGGGTAAGGATTCCAGAAGAGGAGTGGGGATGGGGAAGCGGGCTGGCAGGAGCACTGCCACCGCTCCCCTTATAAACACGGCATCCCCACCCGGCCCACCCCTCCTGGAGCGAGTTAAATATAAAACAGGGCTTAGCTTATCAGCCAGCTGGAGGAGGATCCTCTGCCAGTGCTCGGTCAGCAGCTTTCAGGGAGCCAGCGCTTGGGAAGAGGTGTGCTTTCCCTAGGAAAACTCCGCCTTGGCCACCGGCTTCTTCCTGTTGTGCTCACAAGCTCTCCCAGCCAAAAGGCTGATTGAATTTCAGTCACTTCGCTTGCCGAGCACACTCTTTGCTTTTTTTCACTTTTTTCCCCTCACATTATGTAAACACTCAGATTCTGCCTTTTGCCCGTGGTAACCTGGCGTTGGATGCTCAGCGGCGTATATGTTCAAGGCCCACTTACACCCCGAGTGAACGTTAGTGGAGTCAGAGAAGCAGGAGAGCACAGCCAGGCGAGCTCATGCGGTCTTGCTGGTGCTGGAGGAAGGAGAGAGGGAGACATGAAGACATTCACCCCAGCAACAGGGGAGTCGAAAGGCAGAAGAAGAAAAGAGAGAGACAGAGGGGGAAGCATTCAAAGGTCCTACTCGCGAGGAAGACAAACATGGTAGATAAATGTACAGGTCAGATAACTGAGTTCCATAAACTTGTCTCTGCAGTTTGCCTCCCAGCAAGCTTGTGATTAGACTTTGCTGTGACCTCAGCGCAGCAGATTCCAGATGAAGAAGTCGGTCTGTAGGGAGACCCATTGTCTGCCCAGACCTGCTGCTTCTGAATGGCAAGGTTGCTGGGGTGGGGTGGGGGGCGGAGGGCGGGGGTGTTATAGTAATGACCTCCACGTTTATGAGTAGCTGAAAGGTAGACCCCCAAAGCCATCTCTAATAGTAGCAATACCGTAACAACTATTCAAAAATTTGGAGAGCTTTCTTTTTTTAACTCACATATTCTGTATTATATTGATTTTATTTTATTTAAAATTTATTTATTTTTATATTCCCCACACAATTGCACCCTTCTTATCTTGACCCCAATCCCTCTTATTTTGACCCCTTATTTGCACCCCCCCCCCAATAGAGTGTCTCTGGTTCATAGTTGTTTGTTGATTTTGATTTTTTCTTTCTATTAGTTATTCTTTTTCCTGGTTCCTTATTTAGGTTTTCTAGATTCCTGCTATGAGTGAGACCATCCGGTATTTTTCTTTTTCTTTCTGGCTTATTTCGCTGAGCATGTTCCCTTCCAGCGCCATCCATGTCGCTGCAAATGGCATGAGTTTATCTGGAGAGCTTTCTTCACAGCAGGCACAATGCTAAGTACTGATAGAGGTTTTCACTTAAATCTCCCCGGTCCTAACACGTTGGTGAGATTACGGCTCTCACTTTTGAAGTGGGAAGACGGACATGGAAAGAGGTGATATTGTTGGGGTTTGTAGAGTCGCGGGTCCTGGGGTTCACTCTGGAAAAGGTGTCACCAGAGCTCCCGTTTCAGTGGCACGTGGCGAGTTTCCCAGGTGAGATTCTCCACGAGACAGAGACGTTAGTTATATTTAAAGAACAGGTTTGTTAGGGAAAGGGAAAGGGACAGGGGCAGGTTTTGCTAAGAGAAGCCTGCGTGGCTGCAGGCGGGCGGCCTTGAGGAGCACGGCCTCCGCGGAGGGAGGTCAGTGAAGAGAAGGCCCCGCTGCAGGTCACGGGCGGGCAGGAGGCTGCTGCCCTGTGGAGGAGAGGGTTGGTGAGAAGAAGCACCTGCATAGTCACAGGCGGGCAGTGGGAGTGCTGCCCCAGCCTGTGCAGAGACTGCGCTGATACAGTCTCCTTCTGTTTGGGAGGGGTCACTCCTCTGTGGAGTGGCGCGTGTTTGTTGCTGATTTGGGATAACAGCCAAAACCAGGAAGGGACCAGAGATTCCAGGGTGGGCCCAATCTCTGTATCTTTCCCCTCAGGCCTGTGCTCCACTCCCTGTAGCATCTGATCCTGCTTGGGTCTCATGCCTTGTGATAAGGCACTGGTGCCCAAGGGTCACGACCCCTGCAGCTGGGTTAATGGTCCTGTTATTCCCCTCCACCCCCTGAGTCAGGCTTTAGTCTTGTGAGGCCTCCTTTCCAGTTTTTCTAGTCTTGTTCTCCATTGGTACCATTTGCCCAAGGTCACACAATCAGCAAATAGCAGAATGGGTGTTGAACCCCCGTTGTCTGAGCCAAAGTCCATCTAACCACTGCAGGACAATACTGCTATTGTCTGAAGAAGCCATATGTGTAAGAGTTAATGAACTATAAAAAACTTGGTTAATATTTCTCAAAGTGCAATTTGTGGATATTAGTAGATAAACTTGTGGACCTGGCAATGCTGGGTGAGATACAGTGAAGAATGTTCTTGTAGCCTCTCTGGTGGCGTAGGGGTTAAGTCTCACTGCTATCACTGCTGCAGCCTGAGCTCGATTCCCCACCAGGGAGCTGACCCACATGGCGCAGCAGACCTCTCCTGTCTCACCCCTTCCTCCCCTCAGCAGTGTATTTCAGTAAAACCACCTGTTCTATTCCCCACTCTGTCTCTGCTGAATGCTCTCACTTCCCGCACCTCTGGCCTGCACCCCAGTTCTTCCATGCAAAAATAAATAATTTTTTTTTTTAAAAAAGAATGTTCTTGCACTCTTAATTCTTCTATTCGTTCAGAGACCCCAGGGGGTAATGCTTATGGACACTCTGCCAAGCAAGATCTAGTGTGGAGTAAATGCCACTGACCTCTGTGAGTTCATCCTCTTGGTGGGTGTCTGGCCCAAAAAAAAGACACTGGCAAGATGGATGCCGAAAAGACATGTAGTTATTTCCTGTGACAAGAAAAGGAGACTAATGTTTCCAAAGAAACTGTCTCCTAGATGGGACAGTGAAGTTATACAGCATCTTTCTTAGTGTGGGAGAGGGGCCTCAGATATGTCATTTTCCCCAGTCTTGGAATCTTTGGGTACATATCTTGAGCCAGGAGATCTGCAAAAACCATACTATCAGGAAATAGTATGATGTATACTCAATTCTTAACTCATCTAGCTTTGATTTGTGGTCAAGAAATTTGTATACAAGATACCTATGCCTGAGAACACTGGCCAACAGGAAAATTCCATCACTTTGACTAATGCTGTGCTCACATTGTTAGGGGGAAAGGATGTCCTGCACTAATCCCATGCAGGCTTTGTGGACCCCACCCCCACTCCAGACCAAAGCCATCAGGACATGGGGAAAGACACATCCCGTCACCACCAAAGGGAAGGAGGCTGGGACCTGAGGGTGGAGTTGGGCAGCCAGGTTGGGTATAAAAACCGAACACGTGGGCCTTGGGGGGCTGGCTATCGCTGGCCTCCCGGCTTCACCGCTCCTGGCTCTCAGCCAGCTCTCAGAGTGCCATTTTGGGATTCCTGATCGGCAGATCGGGTAGGACTCATTTAAAACTTTGTCTCCCACTTTTCTCCCTGAGCTGTACATTTCCTCATTTCCCCTTCCCTTGTAAATAAACCTTTTATGAACCTTTCGCGTGTGCCTGCAGCAGAGCATTGATAAGTCCTTTTAAGCACGCGCGTGAGGACCCACAGTCAGGCACCCCGTTTTGTATCGGGGCTGCCCTATAACAACATCTCTACATTTAGTTGAGGAGAGAGCCTTTCTGGCGAGGTACCTTTTGAGGGACTTGTGTTCCATGGAACACATTCTAAGACAGGCTATTTATTTCTAAATTATAAACTAAACAAACAATACAAATGATCCTGAAACAAAAGTCCATTTTATTCTGTGCATTTCTATTGCTTTCTCATAAAAAAGTAGTAGGAGAAATAGAAACTAAAGGAAAGAGGATATATTTTTTTCAATTCCATGTTCATCTTGAATTTATTAATTGCACATTCTGAAGCAATTCTTAATATTTTTAATCCTAGTATGTTTATTTATTTTGTTTAAATAATAAATTTTATTTTTATATTCCCCATACAATGCAACCCCCCCATTCTGACCCCAATCCCTCCCCTCCTGCCCCCGCCTCCCTAAAAGTGTCTCTGGTTCATAGTTTTTTGTTGATTTTGATTTTCACTTTCTTATAGTTATTCATTTTCCTGGTCCCTTATTTAAGTTTTCTAGATTCCTGCTATGAGTGAGACCATCCGGTATTTTTCTTTTTCTTTTTGGCTTATTTCACTGAGCATGATCCCTTCCAGCGCCATCCATGTTGCTGCAAATTGCATGTGTTTATCTTTTTTGAATGCTGAGTAATATTCCATGGTGTATATGGACCACATCTTCTTGATCCAGTCATCTATTTTTGGGCATTTGGGTTGTTTCCAAAGCTTAGCTATTGTAAACAGTGCTGCTATAAACATAGGGGTGCAGGTGTTCTTTGGAATTGATGTTTCTGTGTCAAAAAGGCATTGTTTGATAGAGCCAGGATTGTAAACCAAACAAGCACATAATAAAAAATAAATAAAAACCAAACTATAATAAATAAATGAAATATTAGTAATTACTCTTAAACACGTCTGTCACCCCCTGCTTTATTCTTAGCATGTAGAAGCTTTGAAAATACTCATAAAAGCTAATAACAGCGGGGCCTCCCTGGTAGTGCAAGGGGTTAAGTGCAGCACTATGAAGCTATGAGCAGCCACCACAGCACAAGTTCAAACCCCGGCCAGGGAGGTGGCCCACATGGTGCAGCAGACCTCTCCTGACTCGCCCACTTCTCCCCTCTGCAGTGTATTTCAGTTAATCTGCCTGTTCTGTTCCCCACTCTGTCTCTGGTGGATTCTCTCACCCCCACACTTCTGGCCTGTACCCCAGTTCTTGTATGCATAAATAAATCTTTTTTTTTTTTTAAAAAGCTAACAACAAAGAACTAAAGGATTTATCATTCCTGCAATTTTAAACTGTTGTGTTGGAGTCCCTGATGTGTAATAATAACATCGGGATAAAGCAGCAGGATGTCAGGAGAAAGTGGCAGAATATTGAGACATCCGGAGAAAAATAATAGCAATAAACAGTCTAGATTTTTGTTGTTCTAAGAGTTTCAAAATTACATGGT